AAAGGAAGTCTCAGCCACAGAATGCATATACCTGTAGAGTTTTGCATGGGTTTTATATGAATACAATTTTAAAAAATAGCTGCTTGCACATTATACCAGAAAAACCTCCAAAACTGCAATTGCTTTGAAAATAGATTTTAGGTTTTTTGGAGTTTTCTGAAATGCTTGGTCTGTATTTTGATAATTGTGCATATTATGTAAAAATGTTGGTGGACCCATAAATGACCAGACTTTTTCTAAGAAAAATGTTGCTTTAATGCATTTCATGAATTTTTACTCTTATATCATTGCTTGCTAGTAATAGCAAATCTGCTTTTCTGCATCTGCTTTGCGTAGCTATTGTAAGGCTTTGAACTAATGTATGTATTTATTGCTTGAACTTCTGTGCATACCTTATAAAGCATAATGTCTGACAATTTAAATGGCTCATGTATTCTTGCTTCTATCATAAGCTGATTATGGGGACTATGATCTTTTGTATACAGCAAATTTTAAACTGTAGCACAAACATCTGTTTATGTATTGGTGGAATATACCTGTTTTATTTATCTTTTTTGAGGTAAACTAATTTTTGATACTTTTCATTACTGTGTACTATGTTCATACTTTGAATTCTCTGACGTTAGAAGTCATGGTTGAGAATTGTAACAGCTGTTATTCGTTCTGTATTCATGGCTTTCACTGCTGAATAAAATAAAGGACCAAACCTAGGATTTGAAAGAAAACTGTCTACCTCTAACACCAGGGAGTTATCAGATTTTATTTTACATAGTTTTAGTCTACAAAGACACAATTGCTTAAACCTAGTGGGCTTAAGGCTTATATTCTATGTGGTTGGATTCGTGGCACAGTTGTACTATTTGAAAATCAATTAAAATTTTATGTGAATGTTACAAGTATTTGGTAGAATTACCACTAACTGGGTTTTCTTTAGATAACTCAGATATGGAGAAAATGTCATCAGCATTCTGTGTCTACAGCTGCTTAACTTCATAAGAATGCATTTCTTTGTGATTAGGGAATCGAAGAATAGTCAGCTAGGAATAGAGCTACAGAAGTACACTTAAATAAACCATCCTGGACTTTAATGTCCCTGGGCAGATTCAGTCGCAAAATCCAATACAGTATTTTGTAAAGTTTTCAAGTTGGACATTTACATTTTTGAGAATTTTGAGACTTCATCTTACACATGCTAGTATTAACACACATTTGGACAATAGCTTTATTAAGTCTATAAAGCTATTGAAAGGAACATGGCTTACCCTTGTTATTTCACTAGTTCAGGTTGCAATGAAAGGTTTTTTTTGTCCATGAACACTTGGCATATCTTAGCAAAAAAGAAGGATGTACATTTTACTATAGAATTAATGTATGAACAGTGTGTCACTGCTGTTGGATGTAAAAATGTATATGAAACCATTTCATTCACTTGATTACATTTCTGAAGTATAAATAAAAAAATCTAATTCTTTTTGACCCATTTATAACCACTAGGATTTTATTCTTTCGGAGAGACCATTCTTCCATGCCAGAGCCAAGTCATAAATTTGTGTACACATGTCCCACAATTTGTTTAAAATTATTTTCTTAGGGATTGGGGATTCATAAACCAGACCATACTCAAATGTAGTCAATAAAGATGGAGGCTGCTTGTCAAATGCATTCCATTAAAAACTGTCGTCAGGTTCCAAATTGCTTCCCCACACACTCATCTCATGTTTTCATGTTTTTATTCTGATACAATTTGACATTATAAATTCTGACCATTAAAAAATGCCAGGGGAAAACATGATTACTCTTTTTAACTTTATGACTTTTTTGCTTTATCGTCTTTTTTTGTTTTGCCTCTAAATGTCAGTCACACCCACAGCATCCAGCCATGGTTTAGAGGAATGTGTCGGAGATAGGTAAGTAGCTTCCAAGGAAATGCTTTTTAGGATATTAGGGATCTGTTCCAGACCCACAATTTGATGTGAAAAAAACAGGCAAGATAGGGCCCCTGCATTGGAAAATTTCGCTTACTTTAACCTAACTTCTAAATCTCCTCACAATCAAAAGTAAAAGGAAAATGAATCTGTTGAGAATTTTTTTTTTATGCGTAACTTAATATTTTCTGTCATCCTAGTGAAAGGGTACCTTGACTAAAGGACTTTCCACAGGATTAAAAAATGTTTTGAAAAAGAAGTACGGACGTGCGATTAATGTCCTTGAACATTACATTTTTTCCTCTATCAATTGTTGAAAGTAAATGATTACCAATGTATCCTGTCCAGTGTATTTTGTTAACTTACTAAAGGCTATATAACAAGATGTGAATCCAGTCTGAGCATTTTCTATATTATAAGGAGAACAATTTACAGATTAGGAATAACAAGAAATGAGTAAAACTGATTTGGCAGATGTTTTGTACTTAAACCTAAATTCAAACTCTTGTGATCCCGTAGTGTAAAACACTTGTTACCCAGATATTTTCTGTTGTTGAATCAATGGAGGATTCAGGTGCTTTGTAAAAACTTGATCATTAATTCCTTCTGAATTTTAAAAATAAAAACACAAAAAAGATGTCATCTTAAAATCTAACTAAGCAGAGAAGAAATACAGATGGCAAGTCACACTTTAAGCACACTTGAAGTATTTTCTTTAACAAAAGTAATGAAAGCTAAGCATCCAACTCCCTACTGTTTCAAATATTTTATAGAAGGATATTAAGATAAATCCTAATGTTCAAATGCTGGTGAAGGAAAAGAACATAAACTCTATCTTTTCCCTTTTTTTGTTTTTGTTTGTTTGTTTCTTAAACTGCATGGAAAACAGTAAACACCAAGGCACAAGATAACTATAAGAATATGTGTAACTTGAGAAAATAAGATGTGACTTTGCCCACAATTTGATGTATTGTTCCCTTTACCCTCCATATGTTCAGTCGCCATCAACACCCTCTAAGTGAAACTGTGTGACACCTGAATAAATGGAAAGACCAGCCATAGTAAAAAAAAAAAAAACACACACACACACACAACAAACAAACAAACAAAAAAACAAAGAGTTTATAATGTTCTGGGAAATTTGCACCTTACAGGTGACGGCCATATTGTTTCAGCCAATATATACACATGGGCACTCACACACACACATGCTCCAGGAAGAGAACAAAATCAGAACCTTAAGCTCCAGATATACATTATCGGTTTCACACTCTGTTGTGAAGGTTCACTTAAAAATCTTGGAATAAATATCAGCCAATCTCTTTTCTAAAGCTGAAGCTGATCTTATCCCCTAACTTCATGGGTTTTTTAGTTTCCAGCACTCCTCTAGAAAATTAAAATATCCGTATTATAAAAATTATCCCTCCTTTCATATTTGAGGATCATTGGGATCAAAGGTTTGACAGTGAATATTCACATCCAGAGGACACAATGAACTGAAAGAAAAAATGAAAAGAATTATTAAATAAAATGTTCCTGTTATGACTAGACATGTATTTTTTCAACTCTTCATGTCACAATGATAGCGCTGAAGAGGTCATCAATTTGAAAGTGGACTAGCTATGTGATTCCCTTCTCAGTCACTCGTAGATCCTCCTTGTGTTCAACAGCAATTTGCTATTGCCCTGTGGAAATTGTGTAGAACCACTTGCAGGTTCCCATGATAACATCCAGGGATGCTGACGTGAGGCAAAGCCCCTAAGCCACCATTCTCTTCCTCCCTGTGGAGGCAGCGGACAGCCCTGGCGTCGTGAGAAATGATGTAGGAAGAACACCTGACCTGGCCTCCCCGCTTTCCTTTAAGTATACTGATAGGATGCTATAGAAAATGCAACATTTTAAAATTACCAGTCCTCTTTTCTCAAATGTGCTGGGGGGAGGGGAGAACCTCACGAGAGGTCTCAGGGAAAAGTCATAAAACTTTAAAGACACTCTTCTAATATAAAGTTATTTTGGTCATAAATTCACACATCTTCCATAGGCCAAAAAATTAAGCTTTTCAGAGAACAAAAGCTAAGGAAAATCTGGGTGAGCATCGAGAGAGCCCTTGGAGTTGAACTGTGCACCAGTATTTAAATGTTTTATTTAATGCCCTTCACCAAAGAAAGGAGCTCCTATACAGTTAATCCACAAGAAACCAAGTCAACCCAGCCTCAATAGGGTTGAGGCTCAATATTTCACCGACAAATATGAAACCTAGATGTTGAAAGTCTTACAATAATATCAAATGCTTACTAGCAATGCCATGCATTTGCTTATAGTTTTGGACTCTCTGATAATAGAAATCAGTTAATTTCAAAGTTAATTTTAAAAAAAGATTGCAAATAATAAAACATGAATTTTAAAATCATTTTACAGATACCACTGTTTTCCCAATAACCACAAAATAGTATGTGAGCTGCCTACAATAATCCAACATTTTTGGTTGTCTCCAGTCTGAGACACCTAGTTCTCAAGTATATTCTCCTTATTTACCACTGTGGAAGGTTTAATACTCATTGTGATGCATAACCAGATAGTTGTGTTATTTGACAATATTTATTTCACCAATACATATCCCATCATTTTAGAAATAGTCTCCACCACAAAATGGAAATATTTTATTAATTTTGTCCTCTGCATAAATTTAAAACTGTTATTATTGGATAATGAGCATGTCAATAGTTGTCATTTTGCTAAAGGAATAGTCTTGAGCATTAGTATCCTAAAATTTTAGAAAGGGGGGGATTTTGACACTAAAATTGTTATTTCTAGCTTTTAGAAAAAATCACTGGGTCATTTGAAAAGTACATACGATACATAAAATTTGAGAGACAGTCACCTTGAGATCAGGCATCCAACGAGGTCTCAAGCACTTTGGCAGAATTTAAGTGACTTATGAAGGCTTATTGCCAAAGTATCTAATCAAAATCAGACGGAAAAAGTTTTCATGTTGTGTGCCAAAGAACTCCAAAGTTATGGCTTGAACAGAAGAATTCATTTTTCATAGCTTAGGTGTCAGAAGCAATTACATTTAAGCCCGTTAGGAGGTTAATAGGTAGCAACTTTTAGTTTAGAGATCACTGTAATTATATGCAAAAGGTAGACTATAAATCAGTAAGTTTTGCGTTCTCACTGAGTCACAAAATGCATCCCCTCACTTGCCTTTTGACTTTTAGGAAGATACTAACAGTATTGAATAATTCAATATGTTCATGACTGAGCCCTTTTTCGTGTGAGGGGCTTCCTGTTACAGCTCAACAGAAAGAGAGTGGTGATGGGAGACTAACAAACTAGATTGTGTTAGTCACACAAGGTCTAAGAAAAGTAAAATTGAATGTAGGCTCTGTATCTGAACTGTGAAACTGGTTTCATGTCATTTGCCAACTCTAACATGGATGCATAATGTCTGCCTGGGGTGCCTGGCACATAATAGAGGCTGAGTAAATACCTGATGATGGGTTCTGAGGTCATACCCTCACTATACAATAAAAATGTGCCAACATCTACTCGTGACTTCTGCCACGGGGACAGGAAAGGGAGTAAGACAGGAGGTCCACTGACTTTCCAATCCATTTTTGTTTTTTTGATGGCAATGAGAACAGAGGGTTTTCAGTGGATAGGGTCTATGAGCTGGGAATAATTTCAGATTGGCATATTAGGCACTAAAAGAACGTATGTGGAAAGTGTAATCGGTGGACATTTTCCATTTGGTGAATTTCTGTTACACATAAAAACCTAAATGTTATTACATTTGATAGGTACTCAGGTACTATCTAAAAGTACTCCATTCTTAGGGAGCTGAGACACCTGCTAAGTTGCATCCAGGAGGTTCTTTCAGGGAAAACTGATGTTCGACCTCTTTGAGTCATAAGACAGATTCCTTATTCGCTAATTTCTAGCCAAGCCTTTGGATCACTGTGTGATCTCTTTTTGCCATATGAAAGTGAATTTTGGGAGAAAGCTATGTCTTTCTCAAAATCTTTAGTGTAAATAGTTCCAGTTCAAACAGTTTTCCCTTCTCTAGCACTAAATGAAGAGACCTGGGGTGAGAACCCCTGAAACCCTCCCTTATTGAAGAGTCTCAGTTGGAATCTGGCCGTGTTTATCTAACCATGTTTCTTAGATCCTGCTTGGATGGAGAGGTAGATGACATGAAAAATTGTCCAAGCAGTAACTTCTGGATACAATCCCTGCTACTCAAACTCCCAGAATCCTGGTTCCTGAAACCCTCATTCTTGTGCACGTGAGGCCCGTGGCATAGCTCACAGCATCCCACATCCAGCCATGCCAATCCCTCCTCAGCAGTGCAGCCTCCCCTACTCTCCCTGTGCTGCCTGCTGCTACCCATGCAGCCACAGCTGGGATCCCCACTGCCTGCTGATGCCACCCCTCCATCACCACTGGAGTCTCTGGGAAGACTGCCACCATGGGGCCACCCCTTCTGACAAGATCCTGCCCCACCTCTGCTACCCATGTTTCTTCCTGGAATAGAAGAGTCTGCTTCCTGCCATTGTGTTAAATTGCATTTTGACAAAGACAGTTTGTGGCCAACAGTTGCAAGACAAAACTGATGTTACCCATTTTGTCATAAGGATAAAGCTCACTGTCCCTCTCATTGGACTTACTCTTTCAGGTTATCACAGCCTCAAACCTTCTCTGATGCTTAAGAGCTTGGCTTCCGTTCTCTTCAAGGCTGGGCTGGATCTAAAGATAACTTGATTAGTTCTAGGTAGAGGAAACACCCTTAGCTGGTAATAACCTTTGAAAAACTACTATGACACCAAGATGCTATCTCTATCTCTTTCTCAACTTAAAAGGGGTGAAAGTGCTTTTCTTATTTAGCATCATGTTTCAGATGTTGAGTGACAGTCCTTCCACCTTCTCCCTTCACCATTATTATCACCACCCTCTTGTCAAATGTCTCAGTCATATAAGTCAGCCAATGTCTCGCCTGTGCCTATTATTAGGCCCTGAGGAACACAGATTCCTCTCCAACAAGAAACCAATACTGACAAGTACGTCCAAGTCCAACCGACAGAAGCAGCTCACTTTAAGTCTCTTTCTGTACTGTTTTATGGCAAATGTGTATAAGAGGAATTTCTGACTATGCATCACAATTGTCTTGATAGTGGATGCTAACGTCCCCCTCAGACTTCCTTGCCACTTTTCTTGCTTTTCACCATTCCTCCATGGAGCCATGGGCTCCTCAGGCTGGTTAGGCAGTGTTAGGTTAGGTCAAGGGTTGGCAAGGATTTGTTTCCTTGAAACATATTGGATTAGGAGTTTGATTCCAACACGTAGCTGTCCAAACATGTAGTTGGTATATTCAGGAATTAAACTACAGGAGTTAATATTAGAAGACGTCTTGGCCAGGCGCAGTGGTTCACACCTGTAATCCCAGCACTTTGGGAGGCTGAGGCAGGTGGATCACCTGAGGGTAGGAGCTTGAGACCAGGCTGGCCAACATGGTGAAACTCTGACCTACTAAAAATATAACAACAACAACAAAATTAGCTGGGCATGGTGGTGGGTGCCTGTAATCCCAACTACCTGGGAGGCTGAGGCAGGAAAATTGCTTGACCCTAGGTGGCGGAGGTTGCAGTGAGCCGAGATCGTGCCACTGCACTCCAGCCTGGGTGACAGAGTGAGACTGTGTCTCAAAAAAAGAAAAAGAAAAAAGAAGACCTCTTAAAATTCTTCATCTCCCTAGCTGGGATTACATTTGTAATGTTCATTATAGGGTTTAGAACTGTGGAATGAGAGTCTGCTCCAAGAATCAGGAATTGTGTAGGACCTAAAGAGAAACAGTCACAAAATCCTAAACAACAAAACAAGCAAATGTAGCAGGGGAACTTAAAGGAAGTTTCAGGCCTACAGGGTAGGTAGCAAACTGCCATAAAATTTCTCCTATTGCCAGTTTTTGAAAAACACATACTGGGTAGAAAAAAATTGGTCTCATCCAAGTTAACATGTCTTATTCTAAAAATGGTATATAATTGAATCAAGGAAGCAAGTCTAGTACATGGGTGTGGAA